AGTTCACCTAATATACCACTCTACTCCAGTCTCCATGCCTTTGCTCCTGCTACTACTGTCTTCTGCCTGGCAAACCCCAGTTTCCGGTTTATCTCTTTGTTTTTTGAGACAGGATCTCATTTTGTCACCCAGGCTGCAGTGCAGTGGCGCAATCTCAGCTCACTGCAGCCTCGACCTCCTAGGCTCAAGTGATCTCCCACACCAGCCCCAAAGCAGATGGGACTACTGGCATGCACCGCGACACCAGTTAATTTTTTCTATTTTTTTTTTTTTTTGTAGAGAGGAGGTTTCCCCATGTTGCCCAGGCTGCTCTTGAACTCCTGAGCTCAAGTGATCCGCCACCTTGGCTTCTCCAAGTGCTAGGATTACCAGTTTCTCTCTTTAACACCTCCTCCACTGCAGAAAAGAGAAGAGTGGCACTGACCTCGAGGAGCTGGCCTGGTGCTGCGAGCCAGGCCCTAATGTTGTTAGAAGCTGACTGGCACCCACAGGAAGGCCATGCTGTTCTCCTGTTGGACATAAACAACCACGCAGACCACCCACACAAGGGCACTCTGCATCACTGATGACAGGAGACGAAACGAGACCACCTCATCATTTTGTCTAAGCAGAGAAAAATCAAGGTCACTGTGCCACCCACGGAATACCAGACATTTCTTTCTCCCAGCTGATAGAAGTGACTGCGGCTTCTTCACATGTTACAGCTTTAGCCTTACTCCAGCCAAATCTCCTTCCAGAAAAGAGAGAGCTACTGGATAGAATTTTCCCACCTCCTTTCAGTACTCAATACAGAGAAAATCCGACCTTCCCCCAAATCGCCCAGCCAAAGCCCAGATCCTAAATGTCTAACACCCTCTTACTGATGGGACCCACAGTTTCTCATGGTGTGAGTTTTCCCTCCTTGCAATAAGTAATAACCCCAGCTTGCTTAACTACAGGTGTGTTTCTGGTGGTCTTTACTGGAGGAATTCACAACTGTAAAAGTAAGAAAGGATGATTAAGTTTCTTGGGGGGGAGGGGGAAGGCCGGGCGCGGTGGCTCATGCCTGTAATCGCAGCACTTCGGGAGGCTGAGGCAGGTGGATCACCTGAGGTTAAGAGTTCGAGACCAGCCTGACCAACATGGTGAAACCCCTTCTCTACTAAAAATACAAAAACTAGCTGGGCGTGGTGGCGTGTGCCTGTAGTCCCAGCTACTCGGGAGGCTGAGGCAGGAGAATCGCTTGAACCCAGGAGGGAGAGGTTGCAGTGAGCCAAGATCATGCCACTGCACTCCAGCCTGGGCAACAAGAGCCAAACTCCCTCTCAAAACAAAATTTAAAAAGTTACTTGGGGGAAGTTAAGGGAGTCTCATTCTGAGGGCTCCCATTTTCTATGCTGAGCAATAGCTGATATTATCTTGAGAATAAAAAAGGGGTGGGGTAAATCAGAAGTCTGAAGAAAGTGAAAAACGTCTGAATTAAGTATCTGGAGAAAGGGAGAGTGAGTTGATCTGAGAAACAAACTAGGATAGTCAGGTTCTGTTAAGGGCACAGGTGCGGCTGGCTGACATGATTGTAGTGGCACCAAGCCACCCTACTGTGTGATTTCTAGCACCTGTATTCAAGGCAAAAATGGATAGTTTGGTTAAACCAGCATTTTGGGTCTACTAAGACCAAAGGACAAGGAAGATAAATGCACTGTCAACAGAATTACTGAGGGATGAAGGATGAACCCTAAGTAATCAATTAAGAGGTAACAGCAGAGGGAACATCTAAAAGATAGAGAAAACCACTGAGGTGCTAAGAAGAAATGGGAACAGCATGGGAAACAGAAAATAACTGGTCAAGCAACTTGGAAAAAGGGGTCAGGGCTGTAGAGTGTTGCACTCTCATCTGTGAGGCAGTGCAGGATCAGGATAAAAGCACAGGGTATCACGGTGGGAAAGGGAGACAGAATCAGATAGGAAGAGGTGATTACTACAAACCAGGTGTTCAAGAAATTGAGTGCCCCATGCATAGGCTCCATGTGGATGCTGAGGTCACCTAAGGTGAAGTCATGAACTGAGGTAGAAGACACTGTGGGCCAAGCACCCCAGTCTTCCATGAATGAGGTGAATGACCACAAGAAGGTGAACAACAGCAACCAGGAGGACTCCAGCTGGGCAGGAAGGATCTCCATGGAATGAGAGGGGGGACACACACAGGAGGACACAAAGCTCAAACCCCTAATCCTGAGATACACAGGGGACGAGAAGAATGAGGAGCCACAGGAGAGGGCTTCAAGATGGGATATTCCTGGGGAAGGGTCAGGATGAAGGCAAAAGGAGGGAGGGAATGGCTAAGGAGTGGCTAACAAAACAGAAGCTGATGTTGATTATCGGGTGGTAACTGCAGAGGACACAGTAAGGGGTTGGTGGGATGGCTGGGTCATAGGTAAACAAAAGAGGGAGAACAGACTCAGTGGCATAGCATGATAGACATCATAAGGAAAGCAGAGAAGGGAAGGGAAGGAGAGTGCATGAAAAGAGCTCAATTGATACCTACTGAGTCAAATGGAATTAGTGTAAACCTAATATATCCAACCAGAAAATTTCTGATACCACAAGTCCAGGATCATAATGATGATAACGGTTTGACGACCATGAGGGGTGGTGATGACAGTAACTACCAATTCTGAACACCTCCAGTATGCCAAGCACTGTTCAAACACTCCACATTTCACCTGCACAGCAATCCTCTGAGACAGGTAACATCCTCCTTATCCCCAGAAGGGCTCTGTACCAAAGGAGGAAGAAAACTAAACAGAAGTAAAAGATTTATAGGTGCCCCAGAAGGCTGACTGGCTTTTTATTTTATAGCTACAACTCACTCAGGGCAGCAGGAACCACCCTAACTCATAGCTCCTGCAAATTCGGCAACTATAAACAGTATTCAGCCTGGAGGGAAATCAAAACTAGCAATAATAATTTACTGAGGGCTTCACTTTGTGTCAGATCCTCTGCATCGATAATCTCATTTAATCCTGACACCCATAAAGGTTACCTTTATTATCACTGTTTTAAAAATGAAAAGACTAGGCTGGGCGGGGTGGCTCATGCCTGTAATCCCAGCACTTTGGGAGGACAAGGCAAGCGGATCACTTGAGGTCAGGAATTCGAGACTAGCCTGGCCAACGTGGTGAAGCCCTGTCTCCACTAAAAATGCAAAAATTACCCGGGCATGGTGGTGTGTGCCTGTGATCCCAGCTACTTGGGAGGCTGAGGCAGGAGAATCACTTGAACCCGGCAGGTGGAAGTTACAGCGAGCCAAGACAGCTGTGGCCAATAGCAAGTGAAAACCACAGAAGAAAAAAGGCTGAGTATAATCCACTCGAATTCACAAATTTCACAAGGGACTGCCTCTAAGACTTTAATACTTGTGTATTTATTGATTTAATCAATCACCACTTACACAGACTACATGCCAGACACTGCTCCAACTGCTCTACTAATATTAAATATCATTTTTGTCCACGCCCACCTATGATGCATTATTATAGTCCCCATTTTACAGATCAGGAAACTGAGCCACAGAAAGGTTTAGTAATTTCCCCGACTTTATACTGCCAGTAAGTGGCAAAGCTCAGTTTGACAGAGTCTAGCTCCAGAATCCATGCTCTGAGAGTTTAGTCCCCAAGAACCCATAAAAAGTGCACGGTTTAAACCAACACACTGGTTTTCCCCACTCTACAATCACTATGTGGCCTCAGCCTCCTTCTCCCACCTTAAAAGCATTTTTTGAGCTCCTCTAACAGTTCACATTCCTCTGAACACTCTCTTACAACTTTCCTATTTTTCAAGCCTTTTCTTCTCACTTTTTTCTTTTCTTTTTTTTTTTTTTTTTTTGAGACGTAGTCTCACACTCTCACCCAGGTTGGAGGGCAATGGCGTGATCTTGGCTTACTGCAACCTCTGCCTCCCGGGTTTAAACGATTCTCCTGCCTCAGCCTCCCGAGTAGCTGGGATTATAGGTGCCCGCCACCATGCCCAGCTAATGTTTGTATTTTTAGTAGAGACGGGGGTTTCACCATGTTGGCCAGGCTGGTCTCGAACTCCTGACCTCATGATCTGCCCATCTCGGCCTCCCAAAGTGCTGGGATTACAGGCATGAACCACCGTGCCCGAACTCTTCTCATCTTAAACATCATTAACAAAATTACAACTCTAATGGCACTGCTGTATTTGTCAGCACTCAACACAAAAAAATCATAATTATGTATTTCATAAGTAATTATTAGCTTCCTGTCTCTCTTTTCCAACTAAGCTGTGAGTTCCAGTATGTCTGACACCATATCTGTCTTGTTCTTGATGTATTTCCACCACTGAACTTCTACTAAGCAGCCCAAAGTAAGGGCCTAGCACAAAGCTCTCGAAAATTTTTGTTGAATGAAAGAATAAATGGTGGACACTCAAGTCTCATGTTTTCTCTTTATCTGACATGTACCTCTGCTGGCTACGCCCCCATCTCCACCACCACACCCTTAATAGTGGAGACTTAGTGTGCTACTGGCTCTGCAAGGAGATATTACCTGGCCCTGGGCGGGTTATTTCCCCTCGTCGTCCTGAGTTTCAGGTGCACAACAGGGATCATGCCAACCCCCTAAAGAATGCAACCTACAAAAGAGAGAGAACCTACATCTCTCATCCTCGTAACCCACCGAGGCTGGAGCTAGTATGTGCTTCATGTTGTCTTTCCAGCAGGGTTTAGCTCCAAGAAGCCCAAGGCCTCGTCTGCCTAGTTCAGGGGCCTGCTCCCATCGACGGTACCCAGGCTTGCCCTCTGCCTGGCTCACAGCAAAAGCTCAGAAACGATTCATTAAATACATGAAGCCCTGCTCCGTGCACTTCACAGGTGGGAAGCGAGGGTCGTGCGAGGCGGGGGCTGCATCCCTGCCAGCCTCGAGCGTATTCAGACGCAGGCCCGCCTCCCACCTAGGCCCGCGCCCCAGATGCCGGCCCCGAACCCCGCGCCCGACAGGCACCTCTTGCACAGGGAAGCATCTTCGCAGGTGCCGCGCACGCCCTCGTCGTCCGCGTCGCAGCTCGAGGCGGAAGAGCAGGAGGTAATAGAGGACTCCCTCTGCCTAGTGGCCATGGGCGTGGAGGTTCCGGGGAGCTGTGTCCGCCAGGGACATGGAAGCGGGGTCGACCGGCGGTGGGGGACGGCGCTAGTCACAGGCAGAAAGCAAAAGACGGTAAGGCTCCACCTGGCTCAGCTGGCGCGGCTCAGTGACGCCGCCCACGCCGGCTGCCCCAGCAACCTCTCCGCTTATTGGTTCCTCTTCCGAGTCGCTTATTGAACAATTATCCTGCCCTCGCAGCCTACGAAGTTGCTCATTGGATAATTATTTTGGCACCGCCTACATAACCCGGAAATTTGACGATAGGAAAAAGAAACTAAACAGTAGAAGAGTATCGCAATCCTTTCTGGGAAGTGTAGTCTTACGTGCCTGGAGAAGTCGTCCGGTTTCTGCTGGCTGGTCACGAAATTTTATAGCTGTAATTAATTAACTCAGGGCGGAACAGCTAGCAGAATCCTCAGCGTTCGGGCAAAGGGCAGAGAATCCAACTAGAAGCAACAAGTATAAGTTGTTACGTTCAGTCCGGGCTCAGTGTCATTCAATTTTACAAAATTTTGTTGTGTGCTGACTCTGCCAGCGACTGTGCTGAGGGCTTTGCACCCAAAATTGCCTTTGAAATGTAGTGAGGGGGGCGGGCGTGGTGGTTTACTCCTGTAATCCCAGCACTGTGGGAGGCCGAGGCGGACGGATCACCTGAGGTCAGGAGTTCGAGAGCAGCCTGGCCAACATGGTGAAACACCGTCGTTACTAAAAGTACAAAAATTAGCCGGGCGTGGTGGTGGCCGCCTTAGTCCTGGCTACTCAGGAGGCTGAGGCAGGAGAATCGCTTGAACCCGGGAGGCGGAGGTTGCAGTGATCTGAGATGGCGCCACGGCATTCCATCCTGAGGGACAGAGCAAGACTCCATCTCAAAAGAAAAAGAAAGAAAGAAAAGAAATGTAGTGAGGGAAGTAGTGTGTGGAAAAGTAATGCAATAGGAAGCTATGTAGCAGTGATAATAAATGACCTAGAGCTACCAGGTAGCAGCATCAAGGGCTGAATCTCAGAAACACGATGTTCAGTGAAAGAAGGAAGTCTAACAACACTTTGTAAAGTTCAAACCAACTAATGTTGTTTAGAGAAACATACACATACGGTAAAATACTGTACAGAAAAGGGCAAGACGAGGAAAATTTTTTAAAAACAGAATCAGGATATTGGTGACCTTTAGGGAGCCGAGAGGGTAGCACACAAGAGGGGAGGGAGAGGCAGGGAAGGAGCACAGAGACACATCCTGAGTTTCTCACGTGGGAGTGGGTTCACGTGTGTCTGTTTCGTTATGATGCATATTCAAGATGTTCTGGATTTATTTTGTACTAAATCCAGTACAAAATATATGTATAAATTCAAGATGTACTGGGGAAGTCGCCTGGTTTCTTGCTGGTCATGAAATTTTATAGCTATAATTAATCCAGGGCAGAAGAGCTAGCAGAATCCTCAGTGTTCAGGCGATGGGCAGATAATCCAGCCAGAAGCAACACTTGTAAATTGTATATGTATAATGTATGTTTAATATACATTATAAATTGAAAATGTGTTTGTATATTCCATTTTGTTATCTGTCAGTTGTTGGAAGCAGGGAAAAGACATACTTTAAGAACTTTGAATTGCACTCATTTTTTTAAAAAGGAAAATAAACAACAGAAACCCAGAATACACACCTTGGGGTGAGGTCAAATATCAAATGCTAGCTCAGTATTCTAATGGAGGAACAATATTTCATTGATAGCCACAGTAGAAACGACAGAGGGGAATGGCTAAGGTTGGAGAGCTTTGCCAGGGGGAGTGCTAATGGGATAAAACACACCATTTTCTTGGAGTGGTCCTTTGCCAAAAGGTTAATACAAACTATTGCACAAGCATCGTCTCCCAGCTTAGCAGTGTCCACATTCCATGGGTGTTAGTGGATAGTAAGTGTTAACAGCAAGTACTATACGGTGTTAATCCCATAGTTCTGGACTGTGAGATTGAGGGTGACTGGAAGAAGGCAGAGGCAGATGGGTTCATACACTTTTGTTGTTGGACGAGCCTTTGATTCAAAATAGCTGGTGATTCAGAGGAATTTGGTTATCTCAAAGTCTTTTTCCAGCTAACCTCCAGGGCTACCTCATTCCATGTAAGTTCCTGGTTGAGGGTCTGAAAGTTTATGACAGAGGGGAGTCCGGAGATTGCAAGCTTAGCCATCTCAGGCTAAATGATACATACCTTAATGCATGAGACAATGCTGGGGTAGTCTTTGAACCATATCCCAGCCAGAGAAAGTTCACTGCCAACTAGACTGCATCTTTTGACAAAGTCAAGAGAAGAGTCATGGAAGTGTAAAAGCTCTTTGGACATTAATATTTGTGGGCCAAAAGTTAGGCATTCACCATGGAAGTTCTCCCCAAAAGGCTACAATGGACAATTGTTACTTTGACTCTCCAGTATCTCTTTCTTCTATTAAAAAAAAAAAAAAAAATATAGCTAGAGTGGGCTGGGCACGGTGGCTCACGCCTGTAATCCCAGCACTTTGGGAAGCCAGGGTAGGTGGGTCACCTTAGATCAAGAGTTCGAGACCAGCCTGACCAACATGGTGAAACTCCACCTCTACTAAAAATGCAAAAGTTAGCCAGGCATCATGGCGCATGCCTGTAATCCCAGCTACTCGGGAGGCTGAGACATGGGAATCGCCTGAACTCTGAAGGCGGGGGTTGTGGTGAGCTGAGATCACGCCATTGTACTCTAGCCTGGGTGATAAGAGCAAAACTGTCTCGGGGGAAAAAAAAAAAGCGAGAGCTTCTTATGGAAAACTAAGCCTCTCTCCTTTCAGTCCACGTGAATCAAGAAAGGCTCCTTGGCCAGGCGCGGTGGCTCACGCCTATAATCCCAGCACTTTGGGAGGCTGAGGCAGGCGGATCATGAGGTCAGGAGTTCGAGACCAGCCTGGCCAACATGGTGAAACTCCATCTCTACTAAAAATACAAAAAATAGCCGGGCATGGTGGTGCGCACCTGTAGTCCCAGCTACTTGGGAGGCTGAGACAGACGAATCTCTTGAACCCAAGAGGCAGAGGTTGCTGTGAGCTGAGATTGTGCCACTGCACTCCAACCTGGGCGACAAGAGCGAAACTATCTCAGACAAAAAAAAAAAAAAAAAAGCGAGGCTCCTTGCCTGATTCTAGGGGTGGAAACTTGCCAAGGTCTGGCCAACTAGCACCCAAAATCACCTTGCCATGCTTCAGAGGGTGGTGGAGACTGGGGGAAGTGCTAACCAGGTTGTTCCAATCAGAATGAATCCCAGGAGTTGAATGGAAGTTGCTCAGTTTATTAGCAGAGCTCCCTTTTTTTGCCACACTTGAACTTGGGAGGTGCCATCAGGTGTGGCCTGTGTGTCTGCCACGTGGTCTCTGAGGCTCCCACCTGGGGGCAGCAACACACCATCCTAACCGGTGGGTGCTTGAGTTCCACTCACTGATGTTCAGGTTAGAACTTTTTGGTCACTGCATCTAGCCTTGTGACCATCACTAGCTGCTTGGGACAGCCATAAAGACACTATTAGAAAAGTGTGCCCCCAGCACAGTCCTGGGAACAATCCTTTGTGTTGTTTGTGGCGAGGAAGGAGACCATCATCCATCACCCCAGGAAGATTTAGGAATGGCTCCCTGCCTGTGTCCTAACAGTAACTGTTCAAGCACGGGTAGTGATGTTTCCTGTGGCACTGTTGCCCTGCTGCTGCTCTCTGTTCTCCTGACCCCTAAGAAATGCACATCCCTGAGAGTCAGTGGCCTAGTCACTGATGATGAAAAAAATAAAATGGACAGGGAATGGCATTTGTTGTTCAACTTCCCTCTCGATGAAAAACCCCAAACCGACAACCCCGGGCTTTGTTTCAGTGTTGCTTGCATTCGACCAAGGGGCTCAATAGCCCCATCTGGACCCTAAACAAAATGAACTTACCTGGAGTGGACCCCAGCACTGGGGAGATTACCTGGCATTCCCGTGGGGAGGAGGATGACCACCCACGGGGCAGGCTGCTGGTCTCCCTTTCTCCATAACTTCCCTGAAGATTCACACCACGAGTGATCTGATGGAGACAAAAACCACGTGACTTGGACTTCGGAAGTGTGGAGGGAACCATTAAAATACATGGGAATCCCACTAAATTTCAATGTGGTAAATATTTGACTATTATAGTTTTGGCTAATATGTTCTGCCTGTTTCAAGAGCCTCTCAGCCACCATCTGCCCAAGGGTGGGTGGATGGCGTCGCTGAACGTGAGGTGTCAAGGGCTGGGGCAAAGTCCTGCAGATGCCGCTTTGCTCTGCGCTCTGCTCCTCGCGATCTTCTCCAGATCGGGCTCGTCGGGGCTCGGCTCTGATCGGTCCAGCTCGGCTCGGCTCGGTTGGCCTCGGCCCCGAACGGTCGGCCCAGAGGGTGGGTGGACGGCGCGCCGGAAGTGACGTGAGAGAGCGAGGTCAACGGCCCGGGTAGCCGCAGCAGACGCCGTCGGTGGCCTTAGCTGTGAACCCATGAAGGAGCTGTCTGGGTGTAGCCCTGCCTGCCAGGCGGAGCCCCGCGGGCTGCCGCCGCTGCTGTGAAGAAACAGTTCAACCTCATTAGCAGGTGGCCAACCTGACCATGGGCGGGTCGGCTCCGGACTCGACCACGACCCAGCCCGAGGCCAGCGGGACCCCAGCTGTCGCTCAGTAGCCCCCTGGCCCCTGGCGACCAGCTGGGACGGGCCGCTGCCTCCTCTGCAGCCACCCCTCGGGTGCCCCCTGCCCATTGTCCCTACCCCGGCGAGTATTGCCCTGCGAGGACTACACCCGATCCTTCTCCTCTCTTCCCGAGGACACAGCCAGCCAGAGACCGCTGCCCCGTGCTAGAACTCCAGTGACTTCTGTCCCTAACGCTGTGTCGAGCGCTGTGCTGTGGGGGGCAGCATTGTCAGGCTTTCCGGGTTGACCCGCTGTTGGGAGTCCTGTAAATGCATGGTAGCAAGAAATAAAGGGATACATGAAAGCCAGTCGGATTTGCTTAGTGAATTTCAGAACGCCCACGAGGGAATTTGGAGGTGGTGCAGTCTCAAAAACCAGGATTCCTAGGAACTTAACTGCTGCTGCAATTTCTTGACATTTAGAAATTTAGAATTGGGAGACACCTTGTGCCAGTTTAAAAAGT